GATCTTCTTATCCCCAGCAACATGATGCAAATCACATAAATAAAAATTGAAATATTTAACCTAATTTATGACTGCACTTTGTAAGTGATGAATACTAATAAGTCTGGGCGTTTAGCCAATGTTACCTATATGTAAAATTTCACTCCACAATATAAAATAATAGATGTAGCATACACTTTCTTCTAAAATTTATAAGCTCTAAGAAATACCTTGAGCTGTGTTCTGTTTTATCTGTGTTTGAACTTTTCCTACATGTTTAGAGCTTTTAAATGGTTGGCACTGTGGGGATATGTTCTTCTCTTATCTTTTAACACATGATGGTGATAAATGCATCACCTTGCACACAGTAGATGCTCATTGAATGTTGCTTGCTTAGTGAATAAATTAGTCTATACTAGATACAACAGATTTTTCAGTCCTGAGTTGTTCTTGCCATCATTTCACTCTGCATAATTTAAAAAGTTTTACCAAGATGATTAAAAATGTGTTACTGAATTACTGTGTAGATCCTAGAGTAATGGGATGAAAAAGACCCTATGTACCCTGATGAGGAGGCAGAGTGTGTTCTCTGTAGGCACACCTAGTGGGTTTTATGTGTGACTGAATTAATTTATTTCTCAAAGTTAGATTTATGATTTCTGTATGGTACTTTACAGTTTTTTCTTTCACCTCTACTTTACCAGTTAATATCTTACTAGTATAAAAGTAATGTTTATTGTTGATAATTAGCTGCCTATGAACCTCAGCAGAACAAAATTTAAAGACTTTGTCTTATTCAAATCTAATATCTTAGTATTTATATGTATTTATTCCATTTTATAATCTTCAGTGTCATACTTTCCATGCAGTTGATATTATACAAGCTTAAATAACTTACTGCTATATCATACATTTGAAGATTTCCATAAAATTTAATATGTTTAAAGTTCACTGTGAGTTGCAAAGAAATATTAGCTTGTATGGGTATGGTATGCCTTACTTATTTTATTTTGTTAGACATTCAAATTTCTTATAATTTTCCAATACCATACAATTATCTTTTACATTGTATTCATTTACTTACTTACGTAGGTGTCTATGTGTGCATGTGTTTGTGTTGTGTGTGTGTGTGTAGGTTGGAACTGGAGTCAAGACACTTGTAAGACAGAGGACAACCTAAGGAGTCAGTTACTTTTTTCCACTATATGGATCTCAAAGGTCAAATTCTAATCCTTAGAACTGGCAACAAATGACTTTACTTACTGAACAATTCACCAGCTCTAAGTTATGCTTTAACATAGATTTCTATTTGTTTTCTATAATGTGAGGAGATGCCTAGAACTATTGAGCCAAACTTTCAAACTTTGTCTAGTGACTTTCAGAAGCTTCTTGGCAACTTATGCTTGTTGTCGGAGGCCGCTTGTTTGTTTCCCCACCGCTCAGACCGAAAATAATCACATAGAAGCTGTATTATACAACACTGGTTGGCCTATTAGCTCACACTTCTTATTGGCCAGCTCTTATATATTAAATGAACCCATTTCTATTAATCTGTTTATCACCATGTAGTTGTGGCCTACAAGTAAGGTTCTGTCTGGTATCTGGCATCTGTCTCCTGTGGAGGCTACCTGGTTTCTTATTGACTCTACCTGTTTTCTCTCTACATCTTTCTGCTTGGAATTCCCGCCTTCCACTATTCTGTGGTGCATTAGGCCCAAAGCAGCTTCTTTATTAACTAATGGTATTCACAGCATACAGAGGGAAATTCCACACTACCTCCATTTTTCTATCAAAACAAAAAGAATGTTTTAATTTTAACATAGCAAGATTACATACAACAAATCAATTACCAAGCAAGAGTTATAGTTACAATATTCATATATACATTATCTTTTATCATAACTAAGGAAAACTATAATTATGACTATCTAATCTTCAACTCCATCAAAGACTTCAGAAGGATATAATATTATCTAAGTAAACAAGAAATGTACTGTAAGCAACTTCTAAAACTCTAGACTTGACAAAGACATCTTGCTGGCTGGACAGTCACCCAAAGTTCTGTAATATTGGGACATCCAACTTTCAGCCTACAGGCCCATAGTGTCTGACAGACTTTTCCATGAAGCAGGAAATTTCAAAGACAGTTCCACCTATTTTGGCAGTTTATTGGTCACTTTCTTCTGTGTCCTGTAGAATGTCTGACAGACTCTTTCATAAAGCAAGAACCCTGAAGGGACCATCTCACCTTTAGACAAGTTCAGCAGTCCGTTTTTTGTGGGTCCTGCATGTCCAGTTCATACAGCTTAGCATCATGCAGTTCAGGCAAGAGCAGTTTCTTGCCCATATGGCTAACCAGCTTCATAAGGAGCTTCTTCAATGCCCATCTTCCTCTTGAAGTAGATTGGTGCTGTCAGGAACAGATGTGTCTCATTGTCATGAAAAGTCCTAAGTTCTTAAAACATTATAAATGCCATATTTTGTAAGTCTTTGAAAGGTTTGAAGAATAACTATCCATCTGAAATATTTCTCTGTACATCTAGAAAACCTAATTGACTTAACCACAAGCTTGACTGTTATAGATTACTATCTATTAACCTGTATTTTAAGTATACATTACATTTTTAAATGAGCTTCACAAATGCAATACCTGAATCAAAAGCATAAATATACATATAACAAAATTGACCTTTAAAATTGGTATTAATAAAGCAAGATCCATACCAATGCAAAGTGTTCATCTCTATATCATATCCCCCTTATATTTTTCACAGAAATTGACTGTGACCATTAACCACTTACAATGAATCCCCTTTAAATGAAAACAATCGTTTATAAACAATTTTTGGGAATTTGGGTGTATTTTCTGTACGCTGTAGTTTTTGGCATTCATGAAGACCTTTCAGAGAATCTTGGCCTATCAAACCACATTAGTCTGGAAAGAATCCACAGGAAATAAAACAGAACCTCTTTTCCAAAACAGCATATCCTTAGAACCATATTTTGACGTCAAGATACTTTTAAAACATATATATTGGTTTACCTTAGCAACCTGTACTATGAAATGTCTCTCTGTACTTAACTCATTCACAGTCAAAAAACTCAAATCACAATAATATACATAATCCAAACTCTCTGTGTGTATTCCATCTTTACATGGCTTTTTTTACTCCTTTATTTTTTGACTGTACTCTGTCTCTTTAAAGACTTTCTTTTGTTTTTAAAGCCATTTACTTCATTTTATAACTGACTACATTCTTTTTCCACTTTCAAGCCTATGTTTATTTATCCAACACTGTGTGACCCATTTAGAGGTCTTTCCATCTGAACTCGTCTTTATTGCTTGCTGTATCTGTAATTATTTTTTTAATTGCTAAGAGGGCGTGGCCAGGACCAACTCTATGGTCCTGCCCTTTGCCTCCACCCAGTCCAACATGGCCTCTGAGAGCCATGCATGCTGCCCTAGCTTCAGGGTTGTGGAGGGTCTATGTCACTATTACACAACCAGTAGCATCTTATTCAGAAACCCTGTTTAAGTGCTCAGCCTTCTGAAAGAGTCAGAATTCATGCTGCCAGCACAAACCAGGAAGCCACTGTTTCTATGCTGAGTCAGTAAGTCTTCTGTTAAATGAGCTGAGGTACTACTGTTTGCAGCCAGCAAACAGAGCCCATCCGGAAAAAAAAATGCTGGCTACCAAGAAGCCATCTTTAACTCTGTTCTTTTGTGTCTTAATTTCCTTTCCAAGCTTTCTTAGGTTTTATGTGGATGTAGTCAGCCCCACTTTGGAGTACCAGTCTTTTGACAGAAGCTGCATGGTTCCTGGCCACCCAGACCTGAAATAATCACACAGAAAATGGATTAATTGCAATACTCTTTGGACAATAGCTTAAGCATATTTCTATCTAGCTCTTACATATTAAATTAATCCATATCTATTAATCTGTGCATTGCCATATGGTTGTGGCCTACTGGTAAGGTTCAGTCTGGGATCTGGCTTCTATCCCCTGCACTGGCTGCATGGAGTCTCATTGACTCCCTCTACATCTGTCTGCCTGGAATTCCAGTCTTGCCCTATTCTGTGCTTCAATAGCCCAAAGCAGATTCTAAATTATCCAGTGGTATTCATAGCATACGAAGGGGAATCCCACATCACATGCTCATGCCCATTTTATGTATTTTATTGAACCATCATAAATATCATTACCTATACACACTTTTGAGCAAGGTTTACTGACCTTTACATGTTGCTTTTATCAGCTGCGCTTAGACATATAAATTTTATACTTTATTTTATATTTCTAAAGAATTATTAAACTGTCACTAGTAGCCTTTTTGTTATAATGATCTACCATCTAAACTCAGTTTTTTCCAAATGTGATTATCAGCTGCAGTTTTAAGCTGAACATTCATGGTTTTCTTTATGAATACCTGCTTTGCTGGTAGCTATGGCAGTGTGTTGGGCATGCATGCCCCATGTGCTAGGATGACTTCTAAGATACTCAGTCTGGAATTGCTCTGCTGTAACAAAGTAAAGGAGCATTCAAATTTTTCTTTATTTCGTGTGTGTGTGTTTGTGTGTGTGTGTGTGTACACAGCTCCATGGAAGCACTCTGCTTTCTCACCAGTGTTCCAGCAGCATGAGTACAGATGAACTGGAGGAGTTTTGTTTCAGAGAGCAGCAGTCATATTTTTATTAGCAAGGCATTAGTCCTCAAAGAACACCAAGGGGAAAATTTTTTTTAGTGTTTTCCTTGTTTTTTAGAGAGAACATTTGCATTGAAGAGGCCATGGTGAATCTTAGTCCCTCAGTGACCCTGCTGAGGTACTCTGTACATACATTCAGATGTATGAGTTAGGGTGGACTGAAATGCCTATAGACACATATACATATAAGCTACTCCACCTTCTTTATGCACTGCAATCCTTCCTACATTTCTGAAGAAGTTGTCTCACTATAAATTCTAGCTTTGGTTCAGTAAATTAAATTTTACTTAGATGACTTCTTTGTTTTACATTTCAGAGTATCTGATCCATTGCAAGTCTGTTTGTGCCTCACCCTGCACAGGTATGTATATGACCTACCTATGACTATTTGAATGTATGTATTAACTGTGGATATATCACATTTTCTATATTGAAATTGTTTGTTGAAGTCGTAATATGCAAATGTTAAATTTTTGATCACTTGTCTTATTGACAGTTTCAAAGAGCTGTAACTATGTAGATACGTTGCGTTGTAGTTCACAGTAAGAATCAGGTACACATTTCTAAGATTTGATGAGCCAGAATAATTGTAATTACAAAGCATTCATCTGGTGAAGATTACGCAGTATTTTTATAGAACTGTACTGTTAAAGCGACTGACAATGTGCGGTCAGATCATTGAAGAGTCAACCTTTGACATCTCTTTTTTTTTTTCAAACTTTATTGTTTCCAATTTTCTCTTTTTGTAGAGGTTGCTTTGGATAGGGAGTGCCTGCAGCTCCACTTTCTTTTGCACTGTCCTCAAGCACCAGATAAACAGAAAAGGGGTGGGAATATTTGCACCTGTTTAAAATTTCAGCCATGCTGTGTTGTGGTTCCCGGGCAACAGGCAGGAATTCTCGAAAGCTTGGTTGCACCTGCTCAATTGGTGCTCACAGCTGTGTCATATGTGAGGGAAGCACAGATAAGCTTGTCAGCAGTTTGCCTGTGCTGTTGTGAGTTTTGGTTTGTGTACTCTTGAGTTGGAGAGATAAGAGATGTAGCCCATGGACTGTTACATTGGTCCTTTATAAAACTCACTGGTTATCATGTCCAAATATTTTTACTTAATTCTTTGTTTTGTGTCTCAAATATTTTTTGCATGTCATGTCTGCCTTAGATAATGTATGTGCTGTGTAGCTCAAAGAATGTATCTCTCGAGAAAACTGTGTTGATAATTTTTGTCCTAGGAGAGATATTTTGTGTTTGGCTTGATTTTTACCATGTTGGCAGCCCCACTATGTGGGACTGGATGTAGTTATTGATCCATTTAGCTGAACAGATTTGAAAGCATTTGGCTATTAGTGGACACATGGGGCACATTCAGAAAACACAAGAGTATATTGTAAGAAGGTTTTTCTTATATGTGAGTCTTTCCTGCAGTTGGGGTTGAAGAAGTTGGGGAAAAAAAGAAAATTAAATAGTAAATTCTAGAAGAGGGGCTAAAATACACATGAAGTTTTAAGGCAGCTATATTATCATTTAAGCAAATCTTCTTCCTTGGTGTTTTCCGAGAGTTCCTGGTAGTAGTATTAAGTTTCTTTTGTTAATGGCTTTATGTTCTGACAAATTCGTATATCTCTAAGAGACTTGAACTGTTATGGAATTTACTGTAGGTAAAGTTCTATAAGTGAAATACAAACAGCTGGAATTTTATATAAGGGTATTTAATTAATATATTCATTTGTCCCAGATTCCTGATATTGAAAGTTTATTCTTATGGCTTGTATTATTCTCCTAGAAAAACTAGGGATTTTCCATGATAATTTAATCACACAAATTTTAAGTCTTAGAGCTGCTGTACTTTTCTTTCTGTTAGCATACATGGAATCTGGTTTATAAATAATAAATCAGTGTAATATGGCCTGAGCTAACCTCATGGGAAGTAGGAGAATACACATAAAGAAGTGGAGGCATGCCTGTGTCTCCTTAACATAGTGCCTTGTCCATAGCAGTTGGTCAGTGCGTGTTGAGTGAATGCATATGGAATGACGCATGCCTGACTGACATTAGAAATTATAGTGACTGTGCCCCAGAGACACGTGGCCTGTTAATGCATTTTGAATGAATATTGATGGTCTTACTTAACTTTTCACATTGCTTGTTAGATTGAAACAAAAATATAGATAAATCTTGTTTCTAAAAACAAGTGATGATGTAAAATCAATCCATTGTCATTGTTATAGATCAAGAATTAAAATACCAGTATTTGCTTTATCCTAATTTTTTTGACTATGAGGAAAGTAATATTTTTCTCCCCACACAAATTCTGAGGCATCCATACTTAGGTTCCATGGCACTTTAGAAACTCTTTGGAGCAAAGGGATAAGCAAACCCTCTGTTAATTTATCTAGGCCTTAGCCTTCCACACTAAGGATGCTCCCTCCATGCTTAATTCTAGCTCACCAGCTTCCACAGAAATAAAATGTGTCTTAACTTTCTTTAGGTCAGGTAAGATCAGGACATATTAAAAGCATATGCAGTTGTCTTACTAAGCAGAAATAATGGAGCCTGTATTTACTATCTACATACTTATAATTATGGTTTCTACCCACCACTAAATCCCAATTGAAAATACATAACAAAGGTCATATCAAAACAATGCAGCTAAGACTTGCTCTGGGCCCTTCAAGGATTACATTGTGGAGCTTGAGGTAAGCATATTAGAATGATTCCAAGTCTCAAGCCAGTAATAACTTCTGAATATGTCTTGTTTAGGCTTCTCCGGTTTGATGAGACTTGGGCATTTTTTCCTATGGGGACAGTTTTTTCACTTTTTTTTTTATTACTGGGTAAAAGGCCGGTATCATACCTGTTTTATACTCCCTATCCTTAGTGTTAAGCTATACATTTCCGTTATTCTCAAAATGAGAAACTAAGAGACTAGCCAAAAATATGTGAGTAAGAGAGAGCATTAGCCACAGCAGACAGACGTCAGCACTGCAGTGATTGTGTAAAATATCAAAGACAAAATGTCAACCATAGGGCATTCCAGGGTAGAGTCTCAGCTTCCCTGTGATTTCACAGGTAAATAAAGGAAGAAAATCTATACTGATTGAGAAGATAGCCTGGCTAAATGTAATTCTATCCTTCTTATCCCTTGCCCTCCTTATTTACTTCTTTTATTCTATGTAGCCATTGAGTGCCTGCTCCTTGCTTGACTCAGTAACAAACAAATCAACATCCTTATCTTCAAAGGTCATAATGACAAAGAGGACAACATAGATACATCAATAGGATTTTTTTTTTAAAGTTTCACTACTTACTATTAATGGGACCCAGTTAAATCTCTGTTCTTTTGTTCCTCATTTGTAAAATTAGAAGAATATTTAGATTGTATTAATGCAGTGAAAGTTAGATAGGTCATGTAAAATATTAGTGCAATGGTAGCACATGCTTAAAAAACCTTTCTTTTCTGTGTGCCCACTTCTATCACTACGGCTGCCACCATCATGATGACTTTTGGATATTGAAGGAAGACCATTTAATTAGCAGGGACCTGGCATCTTGGCGTGGAATGGCTAGTAGATTTTCTCAGAAGTAATAGCTAAAGATATCTATGCTTCTTTGACTTTAAGGGAGATTTCATAAAAAATCATCAACCAGTTTACTGAATTAAAAGATACTAATGTTCATTTATTTTTTACATTTTTATAATTCTAGAACACTTATACATAAAATTTACCCTCCTTGATGTTTTAAGGTGTCTAGTTGAATGTTTTTAAATGTGTGGATAATGCTTATTCAGCCACTACAGCCAACTGTCCATAACACCCTTTCCTCTTAGAAATCTGAAATGTGGAAACACTAAAAAGAACTTTACATTCTGTCCTTCTTTCAATTCCTGAAAATCAGTTATGTTTTGTTTTGTCTCAATGATTTGACAACCCTATAGGTAAATTAACAAAATATTTGTCTTTCTGTGTGGTTAACCCATGTATACAAAAAACTCCTCAAGAACCCACTTTCCACATTTTTAAAGTCCAAAAGTGGAATTGGTGGATGATACAGTAATTCTGTTTTCATAAACATTTGTGAGATTACAATCAAAATGGACAGAATCATTGTAGTTTCTGCTTATGCTTGTGGATGGCCTTGGATTCTTTGTATGAAGAATTGTTGGAAGAATCAGTTTCATCATGAAGGAATCTAATGCTTATGTGAGTTCAAACGATTTAAGATGTCTTTGAATACCCTAGATAAGATATGTAGTGGGAGCCAATGATGATTTTTAAAATCATGGGCTGTACATCTCTTGCTCATGTTTGAATATAGGATAGTCGGATTAAAAATAGCTGGCATGGAAATTCCAGTTTGTTTACACTTTATTCCTCACTACAGAATATAGAACTTCTATGTTTTGAATCACAGACAGTTCTGACCATGATGGGTCAAGGTAAATTTGGTATTAGTAGAGGTTTATTTCAAGAAGCACAAACTTACTGTCATAGGTGAGTATTTCTTTCCTTGCAGTTTTGAAGTATGAAATCAAATTTTATAAACAGCCTTGATAACTTCTCTGTGCTGGTTGACATATGGATCAACATCTTTTTTCTATATCTCTTCACAGTGTTTTCCATCTATTTATGATTGCCTAGTGTTCAAATTTCTCTTTTAATAGAGGACAAATCATATTACTTATAGCTAAATAATTTTACATATTTTAGTATTAGATGTTAGGACTCCATTGTCATATTCATTTTTTTTGTTTGTTTATTTCTCGGTGTATCTCCCCTGCAATAGCTCTGTAGATCAGGCTGGTCTTGAACTCACAGAGATTTTTCTGCCTCTGTCTCCTGAGTTCCGAGATTAAAGGTGTGCACCACCACCTGGCTGTCATATGCATTTTGGTAAACATCCGTGTGTGTGTGTGTGTGTGTGTGTGTGTGTGTGTGTGTGTACCACATACATGCGAGTGTTTACAGATACCAGAAGAGAATGTCAAATCTCCTGGAGCTAGAGTTACAGGTATTTATGATTCACTTAACATGGTTTCAGGGAACCAAATTTTGGTCTCCTAGAAGTGCTGCATACCCTTTTAACTGATGAGCCATCTTTCCAGCTCCCAACAAGATTCTTTTGTTTTTATTGACAAAATTAACTTGGAATTGTTATATTAATATTTGAGTGGCTTGGTATACTAAGTCTCAAATATAGGTCAATATTAATTTCCGTCAACAGAAGTCAGTATGTATGTGTGTATACACAGGTATGTGTAACTGCTAATACTTATTTTTATTTATTTATTTATTAAAGATTTCTGTCTCTTCCCCGCCACTGCCTCCCATTTCCCTCCCCCTCCTCCAATCAAGTCCACCTCCT